AAAAAAAAAAAAAATTAACTGGTCAGTGATAAACTTTCCTTGTCAAACTCTTAAAGAGTTCATCCTTAAAATTCTTACATACATACATGGTGTCCATAAAGTTCATGTGCAATTTAAAATAGTTGGCTATTTTAACTTGTACACGAATTTTAAGTTCACCCTGTGCGTATATATATCACATATATGTATGAATCATACTACTCAGACATGGCGTCTCATAATTCAGTCTGGTGTTCTAATGACATATCTCATCTCCCCAAGTAGAGTGTAAAGCCCCAGAGGGCCTGGGCCACATTTTGTCTTTCTTTGGAACCTCCACAGTTCTCTGCACAGTGTCAGGCATATAAGCAATATGCAAAAAAAAAAAAAATAATCGGATAAATATGTGGCCTCACTCAAATTAGAAAAAAATAAATTAGCATTTAGCTCACACATGGTTCATTTCTCCCAGTGCCCCACAGAGAATCACGTGCTAGAGCCACATCTTTGAATCTGAGCCAAATAAACATACTGCCGCCTCGGTTAACCATTGTTTAAATGTTTACTTTCCTTGTCCTGTATTATTATATCTCTCAGGATTCTTTTGTTCATCCAGCTAATGAAATGAGGATTGGGGAACTTCACCCTTCATTAGCTGAGACCCCTCTGTATCCACCCAAACTTGTTCTGCTAGGGAAGGACAAAAAAGGTAACACCGCGACCTTGCTCTGGGAAGTACGCCCCCAATGCATGTGCATGACCAGCCCGGTTGTACCCTCTGATACACCATAGTCCATAAAAGTAGTTCACACCTGTACATCTCTAACGTTAATCGGTATGGCATCTGTTTTTTATACTTGGTTTTCTGTGTTAATTGTCAATGTTCATAGCATTATAACATTTTTACCCTTTAAATTTCAGAATCAACTGATGAGTCTGAAGTTGACAAAACTCACTGTCTGAATAACAGTGTTTCCTCAGGCACTTACTCAGACTACTCGCCCTCCCAGGCTTCCTCAGGCTCCTCTAACGCCCGGGTTAAAGTGGGGTCCTTGCAGCCGACAGCCACAGACGCAGTACATAATTCTCTGTGGGGTAACAGGTGTGTTTAGAATGCCTCTTGTTTTTGTTCCCAAATGCTTATTTTCAGCAACTTTCTGAAATGGGATCTTCTTAATGTTGGAATTGGCACACGAGTGGCCAAGAAGCCAGCAAGGGCAGGTAAGCAGATGTGTTCACCTGGGGCTCCAAGCACAGAAGGATCCTCCCTACAGGGTGAGGCCACTGAGTGAGGGAGACAAGGGAAGCAGGAGGACGAGATGATAGAACAAAAACTTTATTATTATTATTATTATTATTTTTTTGCAGTTTTTGGCCAGGGTTAGGTTTGAACCTGCCACCTCCAGCATATGGAGCCGGCGCTTTACTCCTTTGAGCCACAGGCGCCACCCAGAACAAAAACTTTTAAGAATCAATAATTGTGTTTGCCCAACACATTTTGATGAGGCATGTGGACATGCAGCCGTTCAAAAGCGACACCAGGAAAGCACTTATGTGCTGGTACAGAGTCAATGTTCAATAAATTTTCACTGATATCGTCATCATGATGTCATCATCACCTGGAAAAGTTAGAATGTGCTTGAAAGTACTTAATCTTTCCAAAATTACTCCAATTTTATAGATGGAAAATAAAAACCAATTTTATAGATGGAAAGTCAAAAACCACAGAGCACAGTGAAGTAACTCGGGAAGGCAGCATCCATCTTTGCCCAGTTCTAACTCCATGTTTTGTAACATGTTGCTATGTCTTTTTATATTACACGTAGCAAACAAAAATTATATGCTACAGGTAATCAATAACTGTTACACATATGTTACTAATATTGCTTGTATTGGCAATATCTACTTTAGTAATTCATGAGTAACTATGTCTGGTCACTGATGCCTATGATAAAAATCTTAACTCTTTCAGTTTATAAATTCATTACTTTTGTATGAGCTGAGAAATTTAGGTCCCTGCTAAACGCATTTTTTTCCAATCAGGAAAAGCACATACAAGCATGTCCATCATTAATAAAAGGTAAATAATTCAACATCAGTAGTATGTAAATGGTTTATGATAAACTTAGAAAAATGATCATCTGCTAGAAATACTCTGGTCACCATGTAAACGTGACAATGCCTAAAGTCATCATATAATTCACATTCTAGAGAGATACAGCTGAATGTGTTACCCATACAATGGCATTCAGTGTTTTCAAGACCTGGCCTTCAAATCAATGTTATTTGAAGACAATTTAAACGCATTAGATATGCCAAGCATTTGTAAAAAAGGAACTCGCAAACAGTATTTGTAAATACTCTCAAACAGCACTTTGGAAAATCAGGCTCTCAGGGATGAGTACTAACAAATTGCGTGACTCTAATTCTCAGGTCCATGACTGAAAACCTGCATTTCATTCATTTTTTCCAACAAATATGTATTTAATACCTACTGTGTGCTAGGCACTCTTCTAGGCCTGAAGAGAGAAAGATCTCTGCCCTCATGAGTTTACATTCTAACAGAGGACATGAGACAATATACCATACGTTTAATAGGTAAGTAAGTTATACAATATGCTAGAAGGTGATCTTTAGTAGGAGGAAATACGAGAGCAGGGTGAAGGCTCTTTCCAGAATACCAATACTGTCCTCATGGTAAGGCAGGTGGGGTGAATGATCAGCTCACGGTGGCGGCCTTTGTGGTCGCCAGCTCTCTTTCCCGCAAAGACCCCGCCGTCCTCGTGTTCACATCTCTCCTTCCTTTTGTGTTGACAGGATCGCACCGCCGTTCCCACAACCTCTGGACGCAAAGCCATTACTCACTCAGCGGGAGGCTGTTCCCCCAGCGAACCTCCCCAACCTCCCGCAGCGCCCTGACCGGCTGCCCATGGGCGACGCCTTCACCGACAACTGGCCTGACGGTTCACATTATGACAACACTGGGTTTGTCGCCGAGGAAACTGCAGCAGAGAACGCCAACAGCAACGCTCTCCTAGGCTCCAAGTCGAGAAACGCCGCCCCGCACGGACGCAGGCCCTTGATCCGGCAGGACAGGATCGTGGGGGTCCCCCTGGAACTGGAGCAGTCGACGCACAGACACACGCCCGAATCAGAAGTGCCTCCTCCCAATCCTTGGCAGAATTGGACCAGAACCCCTAGTCCTTTTGAAGACAGGACTGCTTTTCCTTCCAAATTAGAGACGACTCCCACGACCAGCCCCTTGCCCGACAGGAAAGACCACTTGAAGGAGTCCGCGGAGATTCCGGGCCCTTTCTCCCCGGGGGTGCCGTGGGAGTACCACGACGCCAACGCCAACCGGAGTCTGAGCAATGTCTTTTCTCAAATCCACTGCCGCCCGGAATCTTCCAAAGGTGTCATTCCAATTAGCAAAAGCACAGAGCGGCTTTCCCCACTAATGAAAGATATAAAGTCCAATAAATTCAAAAAGTCGCAAAGTATAGACGAGATCGACGTGGGCACGTACAAGGTGTATAACATCCCGTTAGAAAACTACGCCGCCGGGGGCGAGCACTTGGGCAGCCACGAGCGCGCGGACAGGATGCTGGGCCCGGAGCACGGCATGGCCAGCATGGCGCGGAGCCAGTCGGTGCCCATGCTGGACGACGAGATGCTCACGTACGCCAGCGGCAAGGGGCCGCAGCCGCAGAAGGCCTCGGTGACCAAGAGGGTCTACCAGTTCGACCAGAGCTTCAACCCGCAGGGCCTGCTGGACATGAAATCCGACAAGCGGATGGCGCCCGGCTTCGCGCACGGCCCCGGCCCCGAGTACGCGCAGCCCGGCAAGGGCGCGGCGCAGGACCTGGTCAGCCCGCGCGCCTACCGCGGCTACGCGCCCATGGAGCCGGCCTTCTCCTTCTCGCAGCCGTCGGCGGCCGAGGACGCCGTGCTGGGCGCGCAGCTGGCCGGCCAGGCGCGCGGCTTCCTGCGCAGGGCCGACTCGCTGGTGAGCGCGGCCGAGATGGCCGCCTTCCGCAGGGCCGGCGAGCCCGAGCTGCTGCCCGACAGGTACGGCCGGCCGGCCTACCGCGCGGCCGTGCCGGTGCCCGAGCAGTTCCTCAAGAGGAACGGCAGGTACGAGGACGAGCACCCCTCCTACCAGGAGGCCAAGGCGCAGGCCGGCAGCTTCCCCGCCAAGAGCCTGACCCAGCGGCGGCCGCTGTCGGCGCGCAGCTACAGCACCGAGAGTTACGGGGCCTCGCAGACCAGGCCGGTCTCGGCGCGGCCCACCATGGCGGCCCTGCTGGAAAAGATCCCGTCGGACTATAACTTGGGTAACTATGGTGACAAGGCCGCAGATAACAGTGAGATAAAGACCAGGCCGGCTCCGGTGAAGGGGGAGGACAGCTGCGGGAAAATGCCTGCAGACTGGAGACAGCAGCTGCTCAGACACATAGAAGCTAGAAGGTTAGACAGGGTATGTCTGGCGTTTCTCTGTAACAATCTCTCCCCCGCCCTAGTGTTACTTTATTAGCGTCTCTAAGCTCGTGTAGAGAAGCATGAACTGCGTGAGTGAATAGGTATCAGTTATTTTTATTTATCTTTCTATTGTGGGGGAAATGGGCCTGATAGTTTTTCCTGGATATGGCTTCATGCTTTCTGCGAGGCCGTAACCTGTGGGTGGATTGTTTATCAAATCCAGCCTAAACGTTGCAAGTGAGAAAGAATTTGACTCTCTATTATGTGGGATGGTGCTGCAATTGCTTTCCAGCCATTAAGGCAAAATGCTTCTTCTAGGACACTAAACTGTTCTCTAGTGGCCTAAAAAATATGATTTTTATTGACTATAAAAAAGTGAGTATTCTGCCCCTTTTCTAAACAGACTCACTTCTATTATAGTTAGGCCTAATTTGTTTATAAAATCTGCACAGTTACCTTATGGGACAGCCAGGGTTCTTCCTTCTAATAAGCAATAATCTTCCCAGGGAGAAACAGAGAAAGCAGCGGAGATTAAATGCTCTCCCACACGTAGTTTTATTTAAAAAAATTCCAGTCATTTAGAATGTTGGTTTTTATATAGAAGGAAATGTTTAAACTCAAGTCATACTACAGAACAAAGAAATAGATGATGTCTTTATAAAGATGACAAATGTACAAATTAATATGACTATTGCAGCAAAAAAGGAAATTAATCCTAATTCATTTTAAAATTGAGTCACAAATGTACAGAGATTGGGGAGTAAAAAAAAAGGCATGTAATGTCTGCAGTTACATTGTGTGGCCTGTTCGAATCTCTCTAAGAAATCAGGCATTTAATTTTCTGGAACTCCTATGGGTAGGCTGTCATGATTCAGTACGCTTTTGGGCCTCGGTCACAGACCTCATAATCTTAAAGATCCTTTGTGTGACAAGGGACCTGTTGTCAGTTTCTGGGTTTGAATGCTTAGTGTAAATTGAGGGTCTGGGTCATAATACACTACCGAATATGTTCCACTCAGTGGTTTTATTATTTTGTTTGGTGTCCTACAGAAAGCACAGGCCACTGCATTTATTGTGTAATTTTTTTAAGACTGAATTTTGTGTTTTCAGGTTTACTCTTTTTAAATAATTATGTGGTTGTAGGTCGTGTCTACATGACAAGAAAACAATCTTTTTAGGGAAAGAGTGAACTTTGTGGGTGTGGGTGTTAGTTTCTCAATGTGGAAATTGGTTCTGCCTTGCAAAGTGTTTCATCAGAATGTCTGTTTCAAATAGGTGTGCTCCGTCCCATGGAAGGGAGCCTCATCAAAGCCTCATGACTGGCTGTCAGTGGGAGACACCTGGTCGGTTGTCACCATGCCTTACCTCAAGTTATACCCTCCATGTAGACAGATAACTTGGAGGGCGAAAATATTTGGGGCCAAATAATACAGTACAGTTTGGGAACTCTGGCCTCGTGTAGACACGACCATACGTAACAGGGTAAGATGAACTAGCCAAGAAGGGTTGTAAGAAGCTTTTTGGAGGATATGTCATATGATTAGTAATTTGAGGCACCAGAGGAATGAGTGAAAACAAAGCATGAAAAAGAGAAGATACGATCCCAAGTGAGCATTTCGTACCATCACCTGCTTACCAGTGTCCCAGATAAATGGTTCCCCTCCATCGTTCACTGCAGAAAAGTGGGTAATTCCCCCTCACGGAGCAAGAATTTTAAGAGAGAATGTAGAGCTGGGGGGAAGGAGATTTAGGTCAGCAAAAGTCTGGAGGCCCTGCCTGTCCCAAATAACTAAAAGGGAATTCATGTGTATTTTCCATTGCTATGAAAACACTGCCCTTTTAAATTGATCTCCACATACCCCCTGTCTGTTTACAATTCCCTGGGTCTATCTTTCAGTTTTCAAAACAATTTCAATGTAAATTCAATAGCTTCTTGTTTAATTCCAAAACATTTAACTTAGAGCATTGCTTTAAGCCGTAAGATCCTGGAAGCTCTTCTCTTGTTTTCTCCCAGTGACATTTCTTTGCCTCTTTCAATTGAGTTACTGAGCTATTCAGGCTGTGATTTCATACTGAAAACTTCCCAGCTACTCAACAAACTGAATTCAGGGCACTGAAGCACAGACTTCTTACGTAAAACTAGTTTTGAGATAGCTGTGCTACTCCACGTTCTGTCCAAAGTCAGACTGCCCCAGAGACATGGCGTGCTTTGTCCTCAGTGAAATTTAGTTGAACCATTTGGACCCTGAAAATAAAACATTTGCACTACAAATTACAAGATCTTTGTCTGAGAGACCTGGACCTTGGATAAACTTAGGTGTCCAACACAATGTTGGTGAAAGGTCTCAGTGCTGACCTTGGAGAGGAAGCCCCGAGTACCACCCTAGAGAGAAGGTGCTTGTTTTCTCCTTTGGTTCAACCACCAGGCTCATGCTTCTGCCACAGAGCCTCACTGTGACAGAGGATGAAAACATGAACCCATGAGTCTGAGATGGCTTCTGCTCTACAGGGGCTGACAGGGTACTAGACAGAGTAATTTTAAACCCTAAGGAATGATCTGTGTACTGGATGAGATAGATGGTCAGTATCCTTTTCAATCTTGGCATGATGACAGTGAAAAAAAAATCAGTATGAAACAGCCATGAATATATAACAAATACTATTGGATGACAATCGCACCATCAGAAGTATAAGACATTTTCAAGTGAGCTCAAGGAAACTTTGATGCTAAAAATTACGACTTTGTTCATAAGCCCCTTGGAATAGAAGAGCTCCCTGATGTTAACATTTAGTAATTTTCAGTTAAGAAAAAGTATGTGATTTTTGTTGTTGTTGTTGCAAAATAAGAGAATTACTTATTCTCTTATAGGGGCCAAATTCTGTCACCATCAAATTCTGGTGAAAACTGTTTGCTGACAGGGCATTTAAAATATTCGAATTTTTAAATGAAATTCTAGAGAAAACTTATCTGTCAGTCACTTAGAATAATTTTAGGTACACCCATTGAAGGATATTCCCAAGAGAAATATCACGAATGTTCTATAGGTATTTAGGTATATTAGACAAATAGCATGAATAATTCAACTAAGTATAATTGTTTTAGTATCATTATTAAATTTTTTTGATCTAAAATGTAAGTTTTAAGAAACAAAAAAATTAGATTATTTAGATCCCCATCTACTGTTTTTGCCTGATTTAATATGTAAATTCAATCAAGCCAATGGTGAGATTTCACATTTTCTCTCACCAGCTGCCTTTCTAACTTGCTGTGATTGTGCCCATAGACCAAGCAATACAGGAGGCTGATTTGGGCTTTAACATTACAGTGCATTAGCTTAAGACAGAAGCTCATATGTGACTTTCTTATGTGATGATCTCACAACGTGAAAGTGACCAGGAGGTTTGCAGCTGGTAAAATCTAAGCTCTCACCGTCCGCATTTCTTTAAACTAAAAGACTACTAAAGATGAGCACTCCTTGTCCAAAGTCACTATAATCACGCTATACGAAGATAGATTCAATAGGGTTGAGTTAGCAGTAATGTAAAACAGAATGTATCTTCTTTGCTTTTTGTCTTTTCTGTAGTTTTTGGATGGTACTCATTATGTGCATAACTAACACTGTTTACTGTATGCTTCTGTCTGACCAAGTGCATGTTTAAAAAGAAAGTTACTGTTTGCCTGCTTAAAGTTAAATGTTATGAATTTGAACATGTTCATGTAATAATCAGTTTGTTGAGCATGTGTTCACACCCTGTCACATGATTATTTCCTCTACTCAGAATGCTGCTTACAAACACAACACAGTTAACCTTGGCATGCTGCCCTATGGAGGTATCTCAGCAATGCATGCAGGCAGGAGCATGACTTTAAACTTGCAGACTAAGTCTAAATTTGACCATCAAGAACTACCTCTCCAGAAAGTAAGTATGGACCGCCCTACATGTGTCAGCATACCAAAGCCAATTAATGTTGTTTGTTGAGTTAATGTGTTTAGGCTCTATGTACAACCCTGCTTATTAGAGACTCTCGCGAGTCCAAAAAGCATAAGGGCCAATGATGGCGAGCCCCAACTCTCAGCTGCTAAACGAATATTTATAGCCAGACTGATTATGAGGTTACTGCTTTTTGGATGGAGCTTTTTGCTTTTTGGATTGAGCAGCTACATGGCTTTTTGTGTTGCTTTCAGGCTCATATTATTATTCATTTCATTTTACTTTTCTCCTTTGTTTTTCTTTCTTTTGTGTTTGTGTATTTATTTATTTATTCATTTTACTTCTTTGGAGATAGCCCCATCTTCTCTTGGTGATGCATTCTGAGAACAGAGCTGGAAATTATTATTGGATTTCATCTGATTCCTCTGGAAAAGATGTAGACTCCTAAATTAGAACAGAAGAGGTGGCTAGCATGTCTAAACGCGTCTTAGCCATAATTTGGGGGGGGGGGAGGGCAGGTGGGAAATATAACACAGAAGTAAAACAAGAGAAACAAGTTTGTAGCTAAGGAATCTAGGTTAATGGAAAAGTAGCAAGTTCATGTGATTTTAATGAGAATGTGGGCACATTCGAAAGGGAATATAATGGAAGAGGAAGCATTTCCTTTGTTAAAGGAAACATTTCTCCTTGTTTTAGTCAAGCAACTCTGAGAATGCTCGTTTTGAAATTGATTAATGCCGGCTGTCTTCGCTACATTTTAGTGGAGAGTAATGAGTTATTTTGAAACAATGTATGATTATGGCTCTATGTTAATGTAGTCATTAGCCTGGTGAGTCCTCATGAAACAGCAGCCCACAAACACACTCTCTTAATAAAATTAATTAATATATGGAACAAACTCCTGTCCCAGCAAAAAGGGGGGGTCACAGACCTCAAATTCATATTTTATTTTTAAATTAGTCTTTAGTATCATTCCCCAGCTCTGGATAGTTTGGCTCCTACTGTAAGTAGAAAAACAAAATCACAAAGACATTTATATCCACAGCTTTTCATCACCCACAACCACTTTAAAACAAACAGAAAACAACAAAGACTCCACTACACTGAGAACTTTTGAGTGTTATTTTTCCAGTCCTCTGTCTCATGTTGCAAGGTCTAGCCTGTTCTGGTAACTCTGTCCAGGGAGAAAAGCAAGGCCCTGAATTGTGTTATTTTCCAATGTCAGTGATATAAGACTCCCACTATGGCCAAATTCAAGGTGCCAACTTAATGTCACTGAACTCAGAATTGGAAAGATTCATGTACAGTTGGATCTCAAGAGCCAGTAGGAAGTGGTCCAGGCTCACCGTCAGCACAGTGACACTTATCTGAGCTCCCTGCTCTAAGGTTCTTCATGTCCTCTCAGATGCCCAAGGCTCTCGTCCTCCGTCCTAACAAAACCAGTTTTCAGAATGACCTTAAAGCTTAATTGTGTTAGGGAATAGATGAGATATAACAGCTTTCCTTTTGGGGGGAGGAGACAGAGCCTCATCCTGTCATCTTAGAGTCAGTGGCATCATGATAGCTCACAGCAACCTCAAACTCCTGGGGTAGAGGGATCCTCTGCCTCAGCCTCCTGAGTCGCTGGGACTCAGCTGTGCCACCATGCCCAGCTGATTTTTCTTTTTTCTTTTTTTTTTTTCTGTAGAGATAGGATCTCAAACTCTTGGTCTCAAGCAGTCCTCCCTCCTTGGCCTCCAAGAGTGCTAAGATAATGGTTGTGAACCACCATGCCTGGCCGTATGTCACATCTTTGGTCAGGGACCTCTCCTAGAGGGCTTGGCAATTAGAAATCAAACATTTAAACTAAAATAATGGGATTTCAAATTTCAGTGAGCAGATTAAAAAGATCTTGGTATTAAGGAAGCTATTGCTTGAACCCCCTAAAATTATATCATATAGAAACTCCCCTGTTTTGCCTAAAATTTGGCTATATTTATTCATCTTTCTATATAATAATATAGATACATAAAGTATTTGGCAATATGCTTGAAACAGTGTTTCTCAGTGTCTAAATTATGCTTCAGATATAAAATTAAGTATCTCTGTGCTAGTTTCTTTATATCATTTGGGCTACCCTAGAGATGGAGTCACTGTGTGTGTAGCTCTATAGCTCTGAGCTGATCTGAAACCAAAATAAAGCAGAGTTGTATTTGGAGACTTCTCGCCATCCTTAGTTGGACACAGAGATGACCTAATGGAATTCTTGTTGGATGCAAACCAAGAACAATTTAAGTATGAAAAATAATACTTGCCAAAATGAATGTATCATCACTACTTTATTATCTGAAGAAGAGGAGAGAAGGTACAAGACATGAAAAGCACGTAGGCAGGGCGAGCCCCCGTCACCACGGAGTTTAGGATCCAAAACTGATCTGATTAAGTCCTACAAACTTGGGCAGCTGGGACAACTCTTCTGCCCCATCTCCAGTGCAGGAACCTTACCAGGCACTGGGTGCTTAAACAGTTTCAGGAAGAATTCCAGGCCTGCGTCCTCCCGCAGACTCCAATCCAAGCCTCTGTCCTTTCACTTTGGGGGCCCGTGAATGTCTCCTCTGCAGAGATCTGATTTGGAAATCTGTTTGTTTTTTCTGCCAAGCTTTAGAGCAACTTAAAATGTGTCTCTCAGTTTATCCTTTCCTGGCTTCTGTGGCCACTCATTACTAACCCGGTCCAATGTTGGAGGTTCGGTTTCCCCCTAAACCCTTCTTCCCAGGAGAGGAGAGTAGGCAGAAATCATTTTCCTTTGCTTTAGAAAAGCATAACAATCTATTGCAATATTTTGTCTTCCTGCTTAAAATGATAAAAAATTAGTGTCTCAGGTATTTGTCTTTATAGCCATAAGGATTGCACTAAAATACAGGGTAAGATCAGTGTAGAAACAAACATTTTCAATAATAAAATTGTCACAGCTGTTTTGTTCTCCTGTGGAGGTTCTGGGCTGTCCCTCCTAGTCATAAAATCCCTAAGCGATGACACTGGCCGTCTCTAGTTAGATGCTATGGCAGATGAGTTTGGGGTGTCCTAAAAGGAATGAGTAAAGTTTAAGGAATCTAATTAAGGTTTTCACCTATTCGAAATTAAATGCTGGAAGTGGAATTGCAGCATACGTTGGAACGAGGGATGCCTTCCCCAAGGAACAGGCAGGGCTGACTCCAAACCATATTCCCGCTCTCTGTCAAGACCTGCCTCTTGACTCGGTGCCTGCGGCTCAAGTGGCTAAGGCCCCAGCCACATATACCTAAGGTGGCAGATTCAAATCCAGCCTGGGCCCACCAAGCAACAATGACGGCTGCAACCAAAAAAAAAAAAAAAAATAGCCAGGCGTTGTGGCGGGCGCCTGTAGTCCCAGCTACCTGGGAGGCTGAGGCAGGAGACTCACTTGAGCCCAGGAGTTGGAGGTTGCTGTGAGCTGTGATGTCACAGCACTCTACCCAGGGGGACAGCTTGAGGCTCTGTCTCACAAAAAAAAAAAAAAAATACCTGCCTCTTGCAATGAGGAGGAAGCAACACCTTTTTGAAATTTCTCTGCTGCACCAAGACTGCCTTTAAACAAACTCAAAATAAAGAATATAGTTGTGAAAGAAGATTAAAGAACTCTGCTACACAGGGAATATTTACCTGGCTGAAAAGGGAACATTCTCCCAGATGTTGCTAGGTATATTGAATATTTCTAAATTTTTCACATTTATTACATGCCAGGCTGAGACTTGTACATTTTTCATGGATTACAAGCTTTCTATGCTAACAAGTAGTAATTTATATTTTCTATGATAATCTTAGGGCACCCTTTAAGACATTTAGAAAATTCTGAAATAACAACAAAATAAATTTAGTAAACTTAATTTCTTATAATATTTTCATTTATGGGAAGATTATGCTACTTTCCCAGAAAATGTAATAGTATTTAGAAACCAGAACATTTAGAATATGTGAATGAGATTACAGAATTATTAGTATTTTCTATTCATTCATTCATTCATTCATTCATTCACTTATTATTTACTGCCTTTCCAAAAAGCATTTCAGGCACCTTTTTATGGTGTTATTAATGGTTCCATGTGTTTTTCTGGATGTGTTCTATTGTAATCAAGCTTAGCTGCTGTCTTGAATTTTATGTTATCAGCAAGAAACACAGCATTGTAAAATGTCAGTTCAAATTATCACTTTTATTATCTAAAGTATGGTAAAATGGACAAATATTTCCATTGGGAGAAAAATAAGGAAGGACTAGGATTTATTGAGAATCTACTAAAGTACCATAGGTACTTTAAACATATTTTTTCTCACCACCCACTGAAACTCTCAAAAGGGATATTAATCCCATTTTATAGATGAGGAAACTGAGGCTCAGGTGTCACACGCCAAAGTGTATTTTTCTGTTTTGCTGTTGTGTCCCCTGCAGTTAGCGTAGTAGCAGGTAGAATTTCAATCTGCCTGTGCCTGGTTCCTACGGACATGCTCTTTCTACTATGATGATGGTTTTTCAAGGGTTGTAAAGCCTGACAGTTTCATAGAATATGACTCATCACAGTTGATAAACCTCTTTCATGTGGATTATTAGCTCCCATTCTCTTCAAAACTAGAGAAGCATATTATGGGATAGAGAAAAGAATCTACAAGTAGAATATATTAACTACCCCAAAGCATTTCACGACGCTGATCAGCCCCTGTGTGTGACAGGTGGAGGCCTCTTAGTGGAGTGGAATGTAATAAATGCCACTAATTACCTTGTGCTTTCTCAGACCCACTTGCCTCGCCTGAGCACTCAGTATCACTAGGAATTATATTTGGTAGCAGAGAAGGGTTAAAGGTTGTAGACCCAAGAAAATCACTTGTTAATCATCCAGGCTGCTGCAGCCCTGGAGACAAGTGGGGCTGGAGAGGAGATGGTTGAATCGGCCTTTCCTAACTCCCTGTCTGCAGGTGTCTGGCTGCCAATAAATAGCGTGGTCTCCTCAGGAAATTGATAACTTTCTCTTCTTATTCTTTTTCTTAACTTCTGCCACCATGATGTTATGCCATCACATCTACCGCTTGTTGGCTCGTTGAACTAGGCACTAATATAAATTAGTTTATAATTTCAGGGATGAGAAACCTGACGTTATAGGAATATACGTATTAGAGAATCTTAACCATAAACTTTTGCCTGGAAGAAACTGGCCTATTTGTTTTACTAAAGTTTGTAAATCAGTTAGTTAGTACTCATTTCACCAGATTCTGAGTCAGAGAAATTTCGATAGCAATGTGTAGACCTAAACTATTTTTAAATGTCTAATACCCTTTCTTACTGGCTCTATGCAGATGGCTCAGGCTCAGACAGTGCCAGCACTTGGTGTGCATTTATCCACCCGAGGCCAAGGGTTACTTGCTTAATGCCATTTTTTTTTCTGCTGAAAGCAAAGCAAGATTTATGCTTCCCCTCAGGGCGACGCATGCCTATACTTCCTATGGATTTTGCTGCATTTATTATCCCTCGAGGAAGATTTGCTTGCTTTCTAATTATGAAAAAAGCTTTCAGCCTATAAATCCACATAAATTCTCATAGGCAGTGGTTAAAATCACCAATATAATAATGTTGGTACTTATATGGATGCTTCATCACCATTATAATGAAATGTTGGCTTAAACATCACTTGGGCATTACATTACTACCTTCAGATTGAAGCCCATGGAATCATAATCATTTAGACCCAAGCTTGATATATATATATATATATATATATATATTGACCTTTGTAATATCTGTAATTTTCAAAAAAGGATGACAAGATAGAAGAACATAATAACTTCACTGGAAATACTTTGGGAAAATTGTTATTAATAATTTATCCCTTTATAAACCACATGCCAGTTACTCAACAAAGCAGATCCTGGTGTTCTTACCTGACAGGTCCCAAGAAACCTTTGCCAGTGCCAAATTCTAATACCATTTTCATACAATTCCTCCAGTGAAATGCACTAAGTATAATTTCACAAGCAAGCTGTGTACCCATCAATTAGCAGATCAGAGCAAAGCTGCTTGATCAGCAAAGCTGCTTGATCAGCTAAGCTTAGACACTTACGTGAATTCTGTTCATACACGTCTGCTCATATATACATAAATGTGGACACACATACATAAGCATATTCTTACACACATGCAAACATAGACAGACATATTTATGTGAATTTAAGTCGCAGCAAAATTAGAAATTACCCTTGAAGGTAACATTTGTGATCATTCACAGTCCTCAAATAATAAATATTAAATCTAGCAATGTCCACACTCATCTTTGGGGATAGCAGCAGTTCAGTAAGACTCCTTTCTACTCAGCATTGCTGCATTTCTTGTGAAATACAAAATTTCTCATTTATGACTAAATCGCACTAGCCATTTTCTCTATTATTTTGAAATATTAGAGACTTGAGGAATTTAGAAGTTAAGGAAATAGTGTGGTCAGTTCTCATGTCTTTTGTCTTTACTTAGTTATAATAGGGAAAATAAGACTCATTCCTACTTTTTAAAGAACCTGAAAAAAAAAAATACCTGGCCAGGCACAGTGGCTCATGCCTGTATTCCCAGCACTTTTAGTGGCCGAGGTGGGGAGGAGGAGGCCAGGAATTTCAGACAAGCCTGGGCAACACAGTGAGACCCCATCTCTACCAAAAAAATTAAAAATCATCCAAGCGTGGTGGTGTGTGCTTGTAGTCCAAGCTATTGGGGAGACTAAGGTGGAGGATCTCTTGAGCCCAGAATTTGGAGGCTGCAGGGAGCTATGATTCCACTCCTGCCCTCCAGTGTGGCTAGCATAGCAAGACCCTGTCCTTAAAAATGAAATAAAGTCTCTAAAGAAAATATCAAGAACGTGCTCCAAAAACTAATCAAATGAGTAACTGAACCTATTTTCTCTAGAGTAGTAAATTGGTAGTTTAATTTTTTAAATATCTTTCAGGAGCTCCTTTGAGCCTTTTATAGAATTTTGACAGCTGAGCAACCACATTTATACACAGTAGGTCTCCTTTGGGAACGATGTGCCCAGACTCTGTAATTCTCTTTTTGGTCCCCCCCACCATGCCCACTAAACATCAATAAGTCATTTTCAAGGTCTTTCTATTTCTGCAAACTTAAGTCACCACTTGGGTATCTCATTTAAGAAAAACAGAAAGGTCAGAGCATGCTTACACAGAAATTGCTTTGGGGATCTTATTTTAATTTTACCATCAAGTGGAAAGCATCTGTTTGATGTGCCTGTGTGTTTATGTTCCCTCTGGCCCCTGGAACATGGTAGAATTGGTATGATTGTTAATTCTAATTTTTAAGAAAGCAACATATTAATTTATAAACTGGTGAAGAGCCCACATCATCATATTAGAATCTTGAGTAAAGGGTTTTATATTCTTTTTTTACCCTATAAAGAATTTTATGAATCTCAGTTGCTCACTAACAATAACTCAGAGTCATGTCTGGGCAGCTGCAGCAAATGTGGCAGAGGAGATGGAGGTAGAGATGATAGGGAGATTAAAAACAAGGAAGCAGCAGAAGCTGTGTTGAATTCTGGCCTCTTCTCAAAAATGTGCATTGCACAAACCTAGCCAGATGAACATATTAATTATTCCACTTCACTGGCAAAGAAACAAGACATGAGTACTAAAAAATCAGAGAGAAAACATAGACCAGCAATGTTCAACCTACATGATTATGTTTTCACTACTTAATTTTAACATGTTTGTTTTCCAGATTTTAGTATCCAGAAAAATTGTGTGTATGTTTATGCAAATGTGCTTATCTGGAAAACCAGGGCTTGAAACAGACCGACAGGCATTAAACAGATGCCTTGGTCATTTTCAAATAATGTGAACTTTAGGTGTGCTGACAACATTTGATTTTTCAGATAAGCACAAATTCATTCCTAAATAATCCAGGAGCTTAAACTGAGTACACTTTTCCTCTCTTTTCTTTTTTAATACTTTCTAAGAGGCTTATGAAAATTAACAAAATATAAGAAGAAAATTGAGTTATCTCCTTTTTATTATATCCAGTTGACCCATGGAAGACTTTATCTAGAGTCATAATAAATTCTCTTTTAGAATTTTCCAAACAATGCCTTTCAAAACTGCATGTGGTCAGAACGCAGATAGGGTGATTATATAATTGTAAAGGAAAGCAAGCTGGGAACTCAATATAACCAGATTAAGCCTGGCACGCGGCCCATCTCCAGCATGCTATGGAGAGAATAGCCCAGTTCTGCCTTTCCAGGGCTGGAGGATAATTCCTGACGTAAAGTGCAGCTGCACACACATTCGCTAACCAGGCTTGATCAGTAGGATCCTTCAGGAGATACTCAGAAAGTGGCACAGGGAACACTGGGACATGGTATCTCAACCACAAAAGAATTCCCCAGGAAACTCACAGGACCTGCATATCTTGCAGATGACGGAAGGAAAAAGTCTTTGCAAAAATAAACCACGATATATCCCTCTACCGCCTTTCTGATTGTGTGTGATTACTTGCAAAGACTGGGGTTAGAATAGGGAGTCTCCCCAAAATATCTAATATAATTAATCATATAGACAAGGGTATTATTATTTGTTAATAATAATAAGCAAGAAATCAGACAAAAATAAGACATATGAAGAATTTAAACGTTAATGTACAAGTGAGATTCACATAAATAGATAAATTTGGTAATCAAGACAGTCATGATTTATTTACACTGTGATTCCAATAGCATAATCTTTTTCCAGTAGCGTGATTTTGATGTTGTTTTAACACTTCCCCCAAAGCTATTTGTAGAGAATGCCATAAATCTTGCGTTATGCCAGTAGTAACACTATTTTAGATTAGTGCAAGGCATTTTCTCTCAGAATCGATACAACCTTATAAAATTTATTTTAGGTTATGATTTGGGATATTGAAAGTTACATTCTGTGTGTTATATGGTTTTGATTTATATTCTAAATGGTAAAATCATACTATAGAGAGAAATTAAGCAAATTTAAAATGTGGTTTTTAACAATTGGTTCATTTTATTCTGATTATTTTTATTCAGGTACTATAAATAATATAAACATTTCTTTAAAATTCATCAAATAACTCTAAGATGGTTCTTTTAATTGTATTTCTCACTGCTTCCAAAATTTAGAATTCTTACTCAGTAAATAATATATACTAATATTTCCAGTTCAGGGTATTTTTTTTTTTTTGCAATTAAACAAAATTAATTTTACCATAATCATTAGGAACTCTTTTCAGAAAACTATGGTAAACTTCTACTACGTCACTAAAGAATGCCATACCGTTTTTGCAATAGACCCCGTCCCAGCAAAGCAACATTTTAGACAATGGACAAGAAGATATGTCTCCTAGTGGCCAATGGAATCCTTATCCACTCGGGAGGCGTGATGTTCCTCCGGACACCATTACTAAAAAGGTAACCAATTTCAAATTAATAACACAAACCATGAACCTTGTATGTCCATTGTAATGTGTAATATCCGTATCTGTGTTTTAACGTCATTTCTAACTTTCTGATATCTGTGGGCTAAATTATTCTCCTACTATCGAGGGCTTGGCTAACTGTAAGTGTAACTGTAACTGTAAGTGCATTGAGTGGAAAGTAAACACTGCCAGGTCTTGGGAGTTGGTCCTGAATGTTTGTAATCTGTTTATAAGCAGATACACCATGCTGACCTAAGATACTCTTAACTCTCACTTACTGCCCATCTCTGAAGTGCAGATACAAAAACAGTGTGTGACATATATTTCTGATTCTCTTGGCTTTAGGGAAATGTACTGTAGTCAGTTTGCATAAAATGAGTTTTGACCACAAAGAGATGGATTCAGTGTGTCTAAAAAACAAACATTTCATGAGCAACAGTCCTCTGCTCTGTGTGAAGCACTTGCTGGATGCTGGGGAGACAAGATCTAGCCCCTTACCTCAAGAACCTCAATCTGTTGAAGTAGCTGAGTGATCAGTAGCTAATTATGGTATTACATGAGAGATCACTGTAACAGGAGTAAAAACCACAACCTTGGGGAAGATACCTGCTACATATGTGAGGGACAGGGATTTGTATTGTAGAATATACTTTTTGAAGCTCCTACAAATCAGTAATAAAGACAGACAGTAATTTATTTTGGGGGGCAGAGCCTCACTCTGTCATCCTGGGTAGAGTATTATAGCATCAGCTCGACTCACTGCAACCTCCTGTGCTCAAGCGATCCTCCTGCCTCAGTCTCCCAGGTAGCTGGGACTACAGGTGCTTGCCATAACATCTGGCTAGCTTTTCTCTATTTTTGGTAGAGACAGGGTCTCGCTCTTTCTCAGGCTGGTCTCAAACTCCTGAGCTCAAGCAGTTTTCCCAAGAGTACTGGGATTATAGGCATGAGCCTCCGTGCTTGGCCATAACACAATTTTTTAAACTGGCAAAATACAGGTGGAATCAGGAGGGCAAATAAATATTAAAACAAAACTGAAGCTTTTAATCTATCAGAGAAATGCAGACTATGTTATTTTGCATAGACTAGACTGGCAAAAAATTAAGAAATGTAAAAAATAAAAGTTGTTTGCAAATAGAAGAGCAATGGAAACTGTTTTATACTTCATGTAAGAATAGAAAGCACAACCGTTTGGTAACGAATTATCTCGTAAAGCTGAATGTGTATATACCCTATATCCAGCAGTTCCCCTCCTAAGATGTTAAACTAGAAAAATCCTTCTATATGTCATCAAATTTATCACCAGGAAAGTTCTCTTATTCACACAGAGAAATATTTCACAGCAATAAAGATCAGCAAATTGTAATTTTAAGATGTGTATAAACTTTAGAAGCACAAGTTGAGTGGGAGAAAAGTTCCAGAAGATAGAATACATCAGTGATACCACATTTATAAATCTCAAAGATAAGCAAAACTAAAAATATGCTGTTTAGGTATAAGTACATGAGAAAGAAAACTACTGTTCTAAGTGAGTGGTAAATGTAATATATAGAATTATGGTGACCTCTGAAGGGAAGGTGGCGGCAGGACCAGGGAGGAAACTGAACGACTGCCAGTGCTGTTGTAATTTTGAAGTCAAATTGTAGTTCTTACAATTTGACAACTCTTAAAAATTGACAACTCTAATTTTTAAGTTCACAAGTGTTCCTTAAATAATTGTGCTTTGTAACTTACATATATATTATATACTTACATACATTCTTTGTGACCTAGGTGATTTTTTTTTCCCTTGATGACTGCTTCAGTGCTTTTGAAAAGTATATTAACTATCAAATTTTATTTTTTCAAAATAATTTCTAAAGCCATTGATTCTTGAGGCACTGTGTCTGTTGTTAATTTGCCTACTGGGTAATAATATCCCATATTATTACTCACCCATATGACAGGTGAGTAAACGTGACATGGCGTGAAGATGGGATGCAGAGCTTGGCACCTGCTCAGTGGGAGACTCAGCTGCGGAGAGAGGGTGGTGCTCAGTGAGGCTGGGGGGATGAGCAGAGGCTGGATCGCGCTGGGCTTTATCCGTAGGACATGGGAAGGGGAACGTCAAAGTGTTTTAAACAGGGAAAGGACATGATCAAATTCTCATTTAAAGAACACTCTGACAGCTTTTCAGAGAATGAATTGCAGAGGGAAAAGCTTAGAGGCGATGGGAGCAGATGGGAAGCTTCTGTAGTCCCCAGGGTCCAGGGAGTGCAGGTGGAGACAACGAGTGGTGGAGAGAGATGCGTAGATGCAACGTCGTCTCGCATCCAAAATGGTCTTGTGATTGGCTGGACAGACGGAGTAGAAACAGTTAAAAGTCCCAGAGTCGATAACCCAGGTTTCTAATTCAGTCAAGCGAGTGATGATGTTGTGTTCGCTAAGATGAGAAATGCAGAAAGGGTAACAGGTGGAGGAAGAGCGAGGAGAGGGAGTTAGATTTTATCACGTTGACTCGCCGTCGGAATCTTCAGGGCATCAGGTGGACGTGTTCAGTGGATGTTTGACGTTCAGGAGGGAAGTCTTAGCTGGAGGTCAAAGTTCAAGAATCATCAGAACATGTTATTCCTGAGCCCTGAGTGACACAGAGGGATGGTAGAGAGCCCTAATGGAAGGACATCCAGGGCGTGTACAAAACTTAAGAAGACTTTAGCAACAGGATGTTTCTTCTGCAGCCTACAGAAAATTCAAGGGAAAGGTTTTAATCATTAAGGAAATATTGAGTTAACATTAGAAGCAGCGGAGATCTAGTGCAGTCCTCAAATTTAGTACTTGTTTCTCTATTATCAAATCCTTCAGGATTTTTTCCCCGTTCCACTCTTCCACACACTGTTAACTTTTACCTAAAACAGATTCCTCTCATCATCCTGGGATGATTACTGATGACAGTTTGTATTATAAGCATCCGCTTTCAAGTCCAGCAAGACCCAGAAGCAAACTTCTAGCAACTGTCTCTTAGGAGAACCTTTTTTCCGTGAATTCTTCAACAGGCCTCTTCTTACATCTCACGGATCCGAAATAGCTAAGGGCTGCCCCTCCCTAGCAAGAGGAATGGAGTTACGTGAGTTAGAAGGAAGAAGGGGGGATATTTAAGATGTTTAAAACGGCAAACACCTGAACATGTATAAAGGCTGAAGGGGAGAAGCTGTTATTGACAGGGAAGTTGTAAATCTTGGACAGGGAAGGGGGGAAACTCTACTTCTTTGTGAACGAATGTCCAGGCAGGGTACGGAGGGAGGGGCAGCAGAGCCCAGAGATTAAGCTGCCCAAGCAAATGAAGGAATCACATGTGCTCACGTAGTTACAAAGAGGCGCTGTCACGCCACCTTAGAAGGTAAGTCTGACTCATTTTTATTACTGTAAATGGAACTAACAAGTGTTTATATCATCCATCCATATGCCAGTTTTATATGAAATCCATTTTCAAAGTCCACACGTTACATTCAGTCATCCATCAGTGACGTCAGGGGGGTCTTTTGCAAGACCCCTTGCAATCCAGGGATTGCTCAAACATCTGTGAACGGGTGGTTAACCTTACTAACAGCTAAAAGATCATTGTCTAGTCTCCGGAAAACTTCAATTTTCATACTTCTTGTCAAATGGGAAAAATACACTATGTCTTTAAAATTGTATTGTTTCTTTAAGGTGTAAAGTCATCTGTATCTTCTTCCCATTGTCATGATAACGCAGCTTCTGACTACCCCATGTTCTAGCCATTTTGCCTAAAATCTGAGGGTTTTTTGAACCGATAAATAGATCTGTGTACCTGTCACCTCTCAGAGTAAAGAGAACAAGGAATTCTTTAACATTCAGATTTGGTTTTGTATTACATGTTAGCTGAGTGCGTCGAGTTATTACTCAGTGGGCATCAACCTGAGGAAATGAAATTAGTAACAGACGTATCAGCCTGGGCTGAAGAAGTCTCTGGAACACGTGTGCTAGCTGTACTCTTGCTTATTGAGTTTGTATTTTACTTCACAACG